AGTAATGTTGTTACTATGAACTTGTTCTTAAAAGTATTGAAATGCGCTATGTTGATATATCTAAAATTTAAAACATCCCCTAGGAACTTTTATTGTCTTCTTGCAAAATAAAAAAGTTTTGAGTTGTTCCTTTCAAAAATATTTACTCATATCCACTACTAAAGGGCAGAATCACAGTGTGGCGAAATAAAACTAAAAAAAAATGAAGATTAAGTACTTACAAAATGACCGATGTGCTCCGTAACGTAGTCAAAACATGACTGAAAATTAATAGCGAATAACTAAACTGTGCGTGAAAACCTACGATAACCAGCAATTTTATTGACTCAGGTAAAGGCCCGTTGAAAAGCAATAAAAGAAAAGATCCCATTATTCTATAAAACAATAGAGATGGGGAAAAACAAAAAAATTTTAAGTGACCTTACAATAGGTGTGACCTATCAACGTTATCACACTGATACTACTTTTTCATTGTCTTATTATATAATATAATATATGTATAGTAATATTATTATTTCTCCTCAATAAAAATATGGGAGATTTTTTGTCAAATTTTATTTCACACTTGTCCACTTGTGACGTTTAGTTTATACATGAAATATAAAATCTTTTCTTTCAGAATTAATTGAAATTGTATAAATTTTAAATATAATTGGAAACAAATTCGCAATGAAAATGAACTCAATAAAATAAAACAAAATTAACCCTCGATAACAAAATATATTATTCAAAAAAATCAGTTTAATTAATTTACACAATTTAATCCAAATTTTAACGAAATAGAATATCGCGACACACACACACACTATCACACTTCGATTAAAACGCTTTTGAATAAATAAAAGTTACAATGAGGCACTTGCGTACACGTGAATATTGGATATCCACGAAATTACCAAAATGTGAGCAATACTTGATATGAGATATAACATACAAAAAAAAGACAACACAGATATGAAATTAAGAGGGAATGATTGGATCAGAGATAAAGTGTAAAATGTTAACAACTTATCCAACTGGTGGTTTAAATTCCAACTAAGGGAATTGGCGGTAGACCGGAAGTCGCGTGCTCGGGATCTGGATACTGCTGTTGCGTCGATTTTCGTCAAGCTTTTTTCGGTCAAATCGATCAACGGTTTGGCAGCAAAATATTCCTCGAAATTATCCCCTTTGTCAATGGCCCAATAGCAGGAAGACAATTTTTTAGAGTTCCACTTTGAAAAATCCCACGCCTCTATTTCCGTATGCGCCGTCCTCAGTTTCCGTAACCACAAAATAAGTCGCCACTCTAATTTTATAATAATTAAATAATGAAAATTTACATAAAAATAAAGAGCAAAAGAAACTTTAAACTTTAGCCAGAAGGGCAATTCACTAACATCAAACTATACCTTTGGGCTGTCGGCGACACGCAAAGAAGTGGCTACCGTGTTTCTATTTCCACCAGCTTGGAAAAGTGAGGACGAGTCACATACGAAAATCCCTTTTATTAATTTCCCTTTCGCGCCCGCCCCCCTCCAGACCATCTAGCAGTATCCAGTTCCCCACTTGCCCATTGCCGCCTTTTCCCCAAATTCATGCGAATATTAACGAAATTGTAATGAATCAAAACCCGACTCATAGAGAGCAGAAATATCAACATAGCGCGAATATTCAAATGTATTTTGATCCTTTCACACTATAGATTTAAATGAAAAAGTTTTTATATGGCTCAAATTAAACTTTTAAGTTTGAAGTCTCTAATTTTGTTGGCACTTAGGCCTTTTATAAAAAATGTCAAATACATTCATCTAAAGCAGTCGAGGCAAGTAAAAAAATTTATTTGTTACTTAATAAATATAAATTCAACAATAAATGGAGGGTGGTCTCTACCTGCGACCTTGATATTACTTTTGATTGTAATCTAAATTTTAACGAACACTATACCCGTATAATTGCTAGTGCGTCGAGGGCCTTGGGTTTCTTATTTCGTACCACTTGTGATTTTACAAACACAAACACTTTAACCATGCTGTTCTATTCTTTAGTTCGTTCAAAAGTCAAAAATGCAAATGTAATTTAGAATCCTTATTTTGATAACCATTCTGACGACATTGATTATATCCAAAAGCGTTTTTTAAAGTATTTAGCATTTAAGGTCGACAGCGTGGCTCTGACTACTTACAATTATGTCGACGATTCAATTTTTTCACTTTGGCAGAAAGACGTATTACTTATATTGGTTTTAGTTTTTTTTAATTAAAATCATGAAATCTGAATTTGATTGTCCGTATCTTTTAAATCAAGTAAATTTTAGAATACCACGACTATCATCAAGATCATATGCGCCTTTTCATTTACCGTTGCTACGTACCTTAAGACTTATTATGGACCCAATTTATTTACCGTGCTATCATTTGAATAAAATCTATCATAATCTCAACCCTCATTTCGATCTCTTTTTCTGTAATATTTCTTCTTTTTTCCTTAAAATAAATAAATTGAATAATTGTCGATTAGTTCATGGGCCCACGTTTAAAAATGTTATTCATTACCAGCAGATCGAAACTCCGTATGATTGTTATTTAGATGGAGTCGGACACGGACCACATTGTGGTACCCTATCAATAGAGTAATACTGGATTAGACTTGGCTTGAGTTCCACTTTATTACCACTATCTGATTACCCATCGGAAGACATTTTCATAGTACTTTAACAATAGTTTTAAAGGTATGTTAGATCAGCAAAACTTCAATCGCGATATGCATGTGAAACAGCAAAAAAAAACAAAATAGTTTGAAGAAAATTTCCGCCAAGTTTGGAAATCATATTGCTATCCCTCCCTGAACAATAGAATTTTAAGTCCTCTGTTAAAGGATTCTAATTGAAACCCGAGTTTTATTGCTTAAAAATTTGTAGTTTTAATAACTCAACTTCAAAATAAATATATATATATTGAGATTCGTTAATATTTCCAGATTATGAATTTTTTTTTTTTGCTTAGGGACTTTTGGGAAATCTGTATACAGATACCTTGGCTTCCGAATGCCAAGGTTATAGGGGGTTGGTAAAGAAAAAGGAGAACACTAAACAAAATAAGCTGGTGAACTACTACTAGCCCCGACCACTAAAACCCGTGAACCCTTCTTAGGAGCCCTTAATCCACCCTCGGAACTGTCATGAAGACTTTTGCCATCGATGGTATGGCGCTCCTACTCTGTTGCAAAACGACTTCGTCCAGTCCTGCGGACCTTCTGCGTTAAAATTTTAAAATAATAAATTTCTTTTTTTACATTTAAAAAAGTTATAATTTATCTCGTATACCTTAAGTTTAACAAAAAATGGACATCATTTTTGAATTTATCTGCCAAAGGACATATCATATACCAAAATGCACCAAATTGGTACTGAGTTGGTACTAAGCCCTCAGTTCCAATTCCCCAGTACAACGTTCATTCTTTTCAAATTTAAAACCAAAACTAAAATAATATTTAAAGTGAATACAATATATGAAGGATAATTTAAATTCCACTAATTGAAAGATTTAGTATCTCGTTTTTGCATAACCCGCAGCTAATCAAATTGTAATTAAATCTATTGAGCTGAAGAACGTAACGTTAATTGTTTACCGGTTACAAAACCCAATTTATTAAAGTTTGTTCAAATTTTAATCATTACCAATCGAAAGAGCATAAAAAAATGTGTCAGAATCCTTGAGTTTTATTCCAAATATGATGTCGGAAAGATATGAAAAATCAAAATCAAAATTAATTTAACTTTTCTTAATTGTTAACGATCGCGTTATCGGGCGCTTATTAAAATTTGTTCAATTTTTTATCATTACCAATCGAAAGAGCATAAAAAAATGTGTCAGAATCCATGAGTTTTATTCCAAATTTGATGTCGGAAAGATATGAAAAATCAAAACATTGAAGAATTTATGGCTTTTCAAACGTTAACGATCGCGTTATCGGATGCTTATTAAAGTTTGTTCAAATTTTAATCATTACCAATCGAAAACAAACTTTAATAAGCGCCGGATAACGCGTTCGTTAACGATTAAGAAAGGTTAAATTAATTTTGATTTTTCATATCTTTCCGACATCATATTTGGAATAAAACTCATGGATTCTGACACATTTTTTTATGCTCTTTTGATTGGTAATGATTAAAATTTGAACAAACTTTAATAAATTGCTTTTTGTAACCGTTAAACAATTAACGTTACGTTGTTCAGCTCAATTTAAATCTTACATTAAAGAATACAATTTTAATATTGAAATTTTTTTTCACGTATGACAAAAAGGTCATTAACTATATTTAATTTATTTTGACTTTTAACTTTGTAAACATTTCAATGTTATTTACTTTTAACTGACATTGAATAATTGATCATTGTCTGTATAATTTAATTTTTGGTTAATATCGTATGAATAAAAATGCTTTAATTTTTATATTTTTAAAAGTTTAAAGTTCAACCAACTTTAATAATTATTATTTAACAATAAACTGATATTTTTTACTCAATATGTAGTTTCTTACTGGAAAAAAAATACTTTATCTATAAGGAACATTATTAATTTTTTAAATTCAATACTTTATAAAGTAATTACACTAGACACTAATTAATTAAAGTTTAAGGATGATTTTTTAGGGTTTTTGATTACTAATTATCCCTATAAAGCTTGGAATTAATTCCACCGATTCGATTTTTTCTACAATTCGCAAATAGGGCTTTTCGGTATCGCTAATTTCGAATTTGAAGTCAGATTTTCAAAATTCAAAATGGCGGACACAATATGAAGGATGGATTTTTCTAAATTTCTCCAATTTGGTTAAAATTTGTTACTCGGGGGTTTTCGGGCTCGCTGATTACGAATATGAAGTCGGATTTCAAAAATTCAAAATGGCGGATCCAATATGGAGGATGAATTTTTGTTTAATTAACCGAATTTACTTAAAACTAGTCACTCGAGGTTTTTAATTACTTATTTTATGTATGAATATAAACTTTCTGTACCTTCTTATCGATATCCTGATCCCACATGTCGTTAATTGTACATCCGGCACCACGCATAATGCAAGAACCCAATCCAAAGAGAGCTAACATTTTTAGATCAGGAAGAGATCCTATGGGTGCAGCCAATGCAATACTCCAACCGCAAGGCCAAAAAAGTAGCCAGGAACCTGTTTATTATTATTTTAACTACGTTAAACTTATTATTTAATATATTCTTTACAGTTAAAAAGTAAGAGATGATATTTTCTTTTTTCTCTAAAAGTACCAATGAGAAAATTTTAAAATTTTTAATTGGACTATAACTTCTACGGCAAGCATAAATTTCTGATAAGAAATTAAAATGATTAGAATTTTAATTTTAAATAATTCGAACGCATGATTATGATAATTTTTATTTGTTCGAATTATTATTTGATATAATTTCCATATAACCGATTTTCTATACTAAAGAATTTCTAACTTAATCGAAAAAGTTATTTAACAGAATTTCTAATTGATATAGAATTTTCATTTTTCCGAATTTCCAAATGGCCGAACAAAGAATCGACAGAAAGATTTCGGCGCGATTTTTAAAATCAACCAATCAAAAATTATCCATAAAATTGTAATTGATTGATTTTAAAAATCGCGCCGAAATCTTTCTTTCGATTCTTTGTTCGGCCATTTGCAAATTCGGACAAATGAAAATTCTGTTAAATGACTTTTTCGGTTAAGTTAGAAATTCTGTAGTATGAAAAATCGGTTACATAGAAATTCAATTAAATAATAATTCGAAATTCTATCCAATAAAAATTCTTTAAAATAACTATTATGTTAAATGAAAATTGGAGTAAATAAAAATTCTGTGAAGTGAATTTTCGGTCATATAAAAATTCGTGTAATATAGAAAATCGTTTTGATGAAAAATTCTGCAAAAAATATTAAATCGAACAAATAAAAATTCGGCTCAAAAATAATTATGACAAATGAAATTCCATAAAATGAAAATTCTAACTAACGAGTTTTAGACTATAATCATGCGTGCCGAATTTTTTTTCCCCATTGAGATAAAAATAAAATATTCTCATTGTCAAAAAAAAAATTGTAATTTTAAATATAAATAAAAAATAAAAGTTAACGATAAATTTAATTTTAATTTTTTTTTACCTATCGGTTTTTCTATCCTCATTAACTTCATGTAGGGCTGCAATTTATGGGGCGAGCTATTTACAAGTTTTGCAGCAATTCCCAAATCTCGTTTTTGAATGAGAAATCCTTTACGATTATTATGTAGCAATGATTTTGATAGTCTATCGATATTTTCATTTTTTAAACAATTATTTTTTCTTTGCGACACTTCTGTATAATTAACTAGAGATGTATATAACAATCGCTTACAGGCACAAAGATTTGTTGTACATAAATTAAATTTAAGACTAGAATGTTTCGAACGAAAGAGTGTTGTGCACGTGAAATGGAGATATTTTCCTAAAATCATGATTTCACCTTCGATTCCGTGTCTGTATTAATATTAAAAAAAAAAAAAATTATTGTTATTGTGTATTTTTCAATCTTAAAAAAAAAAAATCTATTTTATGGGGCAAAATAATCAACGCGATGCTGAGGGCAAAAGAATGATTTTCTTTTTTGTGTTTTAAGAGTTTCTTTTTTCTAAATTTCTTTTTTTATCTTTTAAAGTATTTTTCTTAAATTAAAAATTATTTATAATAAAATTAATATGAATTAATTATGTAATTAATATTATTATTGTTATATTAGTAATAATAATTAAATAAATAATTATAATAAAAAAATGATGTACGGTAAATTTTGTTGCTTTTTTTTTAATATAAAAAAACAATTATTGTTTTTTAAAAAAAATATTTAATTTTATGCAAAAAAAACATTCTTCATTTTAAATTTATCTTTTAAAATTAATTTTAAAATTAATTTTAAAATTATTTCTAACAATTACAAAAATAAAAAATAATTAAATTATTCAAAAAAATTTTTTTATGTTAAAAATAATTTAATTTTTTTTTAAAAAAGAAAAAAAATATTTATTTGAAAATAATGGAATAAAAATCGAATAATTAAAGTATTTTTTTTCAACCGAAATTATTAAAATAATAATAATAATAATAATAATAATAATAATTAAATATTAATAAAAAAAATTAATTTTAAAGTCTTTTTTAAATAACCTTAAACAGAAAAGAAAAATTAATTTTGTTACAAACTTCAATTATTTTTGAGTTAACATTTTCTACATTTAAAACTTCTTTGGAGTCATTTAATATTTGATGTAAACAATAACATCACCGAATAGAGAAAAATAAATAAATTTCTGTAAAGGGCAATTTTATTAATTTTTGTTAAATGAAATAGAAAATTCTTTAAATATTATTTTAAAAAAAGATTTTTTTTTCTCATGAAATATCAAACATTTTGGTCAAAAATTTATAAAGATTATAAATAAAAAATGATAATGTTAAATTTAAATTTAAAAAAAAAAAGATGATATGTATCGAAAGAATACATTTAATTTAAATAAAATTTAAATATACTTTCTTTCTAATAAATACTTATTCATTATAATAAACATGAAAATAAACGGTAAATAAGAAAATTTTTAATATGAAACAAAAAATAAAATTTCGCTACGATAATATTATAATTCATTTATATATATATACCCTATTGTTAAACTTTTGTTTATGTTTACGTATTTATTAACCTTGAAATAGTGAAATTCAAAGAAGTGAGTAAATAAAGTATTATATTGAAAACAATCGTATTATTTGAGAAAATAATTGATAACTATTACTTTATTAATTAAAAAGAATCATTATAATATATAAAAATTTTATGTATATTTAATATTATCGTAAAATTATAACCTTAAAATTATATTTAAGTAAAAATTTATATATAAATACTTATGAATACAATAATAATAAATAATTGACATTACTTACATAATTTATAGACAATTTTTTCTATCCATACAAAATAAAACGTAATAATTTATTTATCATTATTTTATTACATAATTTTGAGGAAAATCAATTTAGCACCGGTCTTGATAAACTGTGTGTCTGTGGTTACACATCAAGGACGCATGCTTCAAGCTCATGCTCCCCACTCTTGAAAAATTTGAAACCTCAGGGATTGGAATTCAGAGTGTCCGTTACTAATACAGTTGGAACGTTCCAAATATGACATAACTGACCAATTAGGTACGGTGGGGGAAAATCCAAGATGGCGATTATCCGGCGTACTATATTACATTGGAACAGTGTGACCAGGCCGCAGATAGACTTGACCCCCACCATGTTTCCATCCGCACACTAACACATGCATATACATTCCCTGTATATGAGCCTCTTTTTCGTTTTCCTCTATTTGCTAGATACTATGCATGCATTTACCGGCGGTCGATTGCTTTTTGGCGCGGGAAATTTAAAATGTAGAAATATTCTTTAGTAATTCACAATAAATATATTAAGTAAAAAATTAATTATTTATTCAAAAATGTTTTTATTATTAATTTTCAAATGTAATAAACAATAATTCCTGTATGATTATAATAATTTATTGAAATTAATTTTCAGGTTAAATAATAAGTTAGATTTTAATAAAACTTTTAAATAAAATTCAAATTATTCTTTACTTTATTTTGTAAAATATACTTAAAGGGATGAAATAAAAATTAATATTAATGCTTTTAATTAATGGGATATATGTATAATAACTATTAAATTTTATTTTATCTCTTTAATTATAATAAAAAAATTTTAATTTTGATATTTAATGATGTTTTTTTTATTAAATTCTAATTTATTATTTAACTTGAAAATTATCTTCTACAAATTATTATAATCATACATTGAATTATTGTTTATCATTATTTATTTTTAAAACAGGGATGAAATAATTTGTATAATAATTAATAATAAATCAATTAATTAATCAATTATTAAATTAATAATAATTATTATTTAATTAATAATTTCTTTTTTATGACAATTTTTAATTAACACAATTATTAATTAAATAATTATATATTGTTAATTATATTTCAGACTACTTACTTCTTTTATAATTTAATCTACACAAATTTAAAAAAATTACCTTTTACACCTTATTTATAAATAGGGTGTAAAAGGTAATAATATAATTTATAAATATAATAATTTAATTTATAATATAATTTATTTATGTAAAATGTAATTTTTTTAAATTTGTGTAGATTAAATTATAAAAGAAGTAAGTAGTCTGAAATATAATTAACAATATATAATTATTTAATTAATAATTGTGTTAATTAAAAATTATCATAAAAAAGAAATTATTAATTAAATAATAATTATTATTAATTTAATAATTGATTAATTAATTGATTTATTATTAATTATTACCTATACAAATTATTTTATCTCTTTTTTAAAAATAAATAATAATAAACAATAATTCAATGTATGATTATAATAATTTGTAGAAGATAATTTTCAAGTTAAATAATAAATTAGAATTTAATAAAAAAACTTCATGAAATATCAAAATTATATTTTTTTATTATAATTAAAGAGATAAAATAAAATTAAATAATTATTATACATATATTAGATTTGAAAATTAATAATAAAAACATTTTTGAATAAATAATTAATTTTTTACTTAATATATTTATTGTGAATTACTAAAGAATATTTCTACATTTTAAATTTCCCGCGCCAAAAAGCAATCGACTGCCGGTAAATGCATGCATAGTATCTAGCAAATAGAGGAAAACGAAAAAGAGGCTCATATACAGGGAATGTATATGCATGTGTTAGTGTGCGGATGGAAACATAGTGGGGGTCAAGTCTATCTGCGGCCTGGTCACACTGCATTGGAATTATATGGGCAAAAATCTAATTTTTTAAATATCTCGCTCAAATAAAATTTTCGCACCTAAGTACAATATATGGGATTTTGTTTTATTTTTAAAGAACTATTTAATGCAATAAAAAACAATTTTATTATTTTAATTATTTTATTGCATCAAATAGTTCTTTAAAAATAAAATATAAGATCACCAATATACTTAGGTTCGAAAATTTCATTTGAGCGAGTTATTTAAAAAATTACATTTTATCCCATATACTTCCAATGTAAAGTTGTGTGTCAGATAATAGCCATTTTGTATTTTTCCCCACCCATTATTTAAACTACCTAATTTACGGTTAATTTTCAATGTCCTCACTCGCCATTTGTCACAATTCTCGTCAACTACCGCACCCTACTCTAGTGAAAATTTAGTAACTTTTAATTTTAACAATAAAGTTACTAAATTTTCACTCGAGCAGGGTGAGGTAGTTGATGAGAATTATGACAAATAGAGAGTGGGGACAATGGAAACCAATCATACACCAAAAGAATGACATTGTCCCCATTCTCCATAATTCTATATTAACTACCGCTTCCTGCTCTAGTGAAAATTTAATGACTTTATAGTAACTTTTAATTTTAACTAGAATTTCACTGAATTTTTACTAGAGCATGGTGCGGTAGTTGACATGAAATTATGACAAATGGTGAGTGGGGACTTTGATAGAAATAACACAACTCACAACTATTCAAAATGTCGTCAAACTGGAAGAAAGTTTTTGTTCCCCCTCGATATTTATCATAATTCTCGGTTAACTACTGCACCCTGCTCTAGTGAAAATTTAGTGACTTTATAGTAACTTTTAATTTTAACAATAAAGTTACTAAATTTTCCCTAGAGCAGGGTGCGGTAGTTGATCTAGAATGATGATAAATAGCAAGAGGGAACAATGGCATCCTTCCGGACAACACTTATGCAAATTAAGTGTATAAAGGAGACTCCACAACAACTTGCTTAAGCTTTTGCTTTGCATTTGACTTGCTTTGTTATGTCAAAACTGTGCTAAATTGTAAAATAGTGGAACGTAAAACGCTTGAAACTTCTGGACAAGCTTACGAGTTGCGCGCGCACCGTTTTGACATAAGGTTGGTTTACATTGTCCCCACTTGCGATTTGTCATAATCTCATAATTCTCGTCAGCTATTGAACCTTGCTCCAGTAAAAATTTATTAGTAACTTTTAATTTTAATAATAAAGTCATTAAATTTTCACTAAAGCAGGGTATTTCGGAAAATGCAAAATAAAAATTTTTTAATGCAAATATTTCTAGACGACTTTTAATAATTTTAATTATTTAATATTTATATTTAAAAAATTCAGTGTCTTAAAATCATAAACCAAATTTTTTGTTCGCGATTGTTATCAATGCTTTGATGACGTCACTGCGCTTGCGGAACAACGCGTCAGTCACGCAATGCAAACATTTAAGGCCAACGCACAGTAGATTCGCGAAAGTCGTTCGCGATCGAGATGCATGAGATAGAAAAGGATACGAATATATCTCTGTCCTTTTCTAACTCATGTTTCACGTTCGCGAAGCTATTCTGCTTAGGCCTTTAAGAATATAATGGAGAAAGGCCTTTATGGAGCATTTACACCTTCGGTAGAAAATTTTCGTCACTTAGCATTTTTCGAACTACACTTATCTAATTGGTTGTCCAAAATCTGATTCATTGTGGACAACCAATCAGGTAAGTGTATTTCGGAAAATGCAAAGTGAAGAAAATTGTGGATTCTCCTAAAAGCACTTTTAATGGAACGGTCAAACCTCGCCTGCAGGAGCAGTTGCCAATGGCAACCGTGTAAGAGTAAGAGAGATGGAAAATCTTTTATCTCTCTTACTCTTACACGGTTGCCATGGGCAACTGCTCCTGCAGCCGAGGTGTGACCGCTCCATAATTCTCGAGAAAATTGTCACATTTGGGAGGTTACTCTCTAGAACTAGTTAACAAGTAAAGTGACTTACCCCTGGCTTTAAACCTATATCACATACGTAATATTTTATCAATTGCGTTTTGTACATCTTTTACACGAGTATTTCATGGCTCTTTTAAATTTAATTTATGCATGTGTATATAACATATACATATGTATATAAATGCATTCGTTTATACAGAAAGTATTATATTAATTGATCGCGAGGCTATTGTCAGTCTTACGGGAAAAAATTAAGATTGTGTAAAAATTTTATGTTTAAGTTTTGTCAATTGTTCGTTAGAAATTTAACAATGTCAATTTCAAAAAAGCCTGAAGTTGTTTTTATTTTGGGTGGTCCTGGCGCTGGTAAAGGTACACAATGTAAATACATTGTCGATAAGTACGGTTATGTTCATCTGTCAGCCGGTGATCTTTTACGTGAGGAACGTGTCAAACCAGGCTCTGAATTTGGTGATTTAATTGAAAATCACATGGTAAATGGTACAATTGTCCCCGTAGAAATAACATGTAGTCTATTGGATCGTGCTATGCAAAATTCCAATAATCCACATAAAAAATTTCTCATTGATGGATTTCCAAGAAATGCTGATAATTTACAAGGCTGGACTAAGGTGAGTTGACAAAAAAAGAAAAAAAAAATTTAATAAATACTAATTTTAGAATACACGAATTATTCGAGATAATTATTTTTTTTTTTAAATATTGTATTTTTTTAAACTGATTAGAGGAAAATTTTTTTTCAAAATTTAAATTTACGTGATGAGTGAATAAAAATTTGTATATTTTAATTTTAAATAAAGAAAATATTTTTCATTTTTGATAAAAAGTATTATTAGAAAATGGAAAATTTAATTGTTAACGGATCTTTTGTACACGTGACTAAGAGAGATGTAATAAAAAATAATGAACTTGAAAGATAAGAATCTAATGTCGTAATAATGATTTAATACACGTCGTATAAATGAATCTCATTCAACGTGAAATTTTCATTCAAAAAAAAATTTTTTTATTACTGAAATATTTTTTGTCGAAATTTTTACGAAAAAAAAACAATACGTATTGTTTTATTATTTTTTTTTAAATTACAAAAAATATATTTTTCTTTATTTTTTATAAAGATTTCAAAAAAATATCCTAAAAAGAATTTGGATTTTTTTATGAAAATCTCGCATGGAATGACCCAAATGGGGAATTATTTCTCAAACGTACCAGTAAAAAATTAAAAATTCTTCAATTGGATGGATAATTTGGTAAATTGTTGTCCTTTATGAAAGTAACAAATTCCTAAAATATTAAATCAATAAAAAAAATTTTTAGAAAGTGGTGGGGGTAGAAATTTTTAACACTAATTTTCAAATCTTTATAACGATGAAAAAAATTTTTTAGATTTTAATTTGTTGAAAAAGCAATGTTTTCGAGTTTTTTTTCATATACTTTTCAGGCCTCGGATTATACGCCTTTTTCGACTATTTCCAATTTTTTTTTTTCAAAAATACGACTTTTTTCGACTTATTTTAATAAAATGCGACTATTTCGACTTTTTTTTAAACATTTTTTAAAAAATTAAAAAAAAAATATATTTATTTTAGTATAAAATGCAGATCTTCTTCATATCTTCTTTATTTCAATTATTTAACAAAAATTCTTCACTAAATTAATTATTTTTAATAATTTTAATGAAATTCATCACAAATTTAATTATTTCAAATTATTTTTCAATTAAAATTTTTATAAAATTTAACAATTGTTTATAATTTAAAAAAATAACAAAAATAAAATTACCAAAAAATTTTAATTCAAAATCATGAATCAATTCAAAATCAAAGAAAATTCAATTATTTTCAAAATTTTCAATTCAAAATCTTTTAAAATTCAATTATTTTCCAAATTTTAAATTTAAAATCAGATAAAATTTAATTATTACCCAAAATTTCAATTCAAAATCAATTAAAATTCAATAATTATCCAAAATTTCAATTCAAAATTAATTATCAAAATTTTCAATCAAAAATCAACTAAAATTGAATTATTATCCAAAATTTCAATTATAATTCAATTATTATTTTCAAAAATTTGAATTTAAAAGCTTCTAAAATTTAATTATTATCAAAATTTTCAATAAAAAATCAACTAAAATTGAATTATTATCCAAAATTTCAATTATAATTCAATTATTTTCAAAAATTTGAATTTAAAAGCTTCTAAAGTTTAATTATTTATAAAATTTTCCATCGAAAATTTTTTGAAATTTGACAATTTCAATTATTATTACTCTAAGGAAATTAAATTATTTTTAACTGTTCTTATAATATTCTTTGAAAATTCAACTATCTGAAACCATTTTTCAATGAAAAATGTTTTTCAAATTATTGTATTTTTGTCCGCAATTTCTAATAAATTTTTTAGTAAAATCATCAAAAAATTTTAATTAAAAATCACTTGAAGTTTAATTAATTTTAAAAATATCAATTGTAAATCTTTGAAAATTCAATTACATTTAATAAATATTTATTTTAGTATAAAATGCAGATCTTCTTCAAATCTTCTTTATTTCAATAATTTAACAAAAATTGTTCACTAAATTAATTATTTTTAATATAATTTAAAAAATGTTATCTGAAATTATTTGTTAAATTATTTTTAGTTCTGTAAAATTTAATTATTGTCTGAAAATTAACAAAATCTTTTAAAATTCAATTACCTATATCTAAAAATTTCAACTTTAACTATTCCAAAAGTATTATTATTTAAAAAAAAAATTTTATTTAAAAATCTTTAAAATATTTTTGTTAAAATAAAAAAAATCCATATTCTCGACTTTCTTTGGAATATAAATCGACTAAAACGACTTTTTTTTTGCCTTTAAGTCGATCCGAGGCCTGACTTTTTAATGCAAAAAAAAAATTTTTTTTCGAAAAAAAAAAATTTAACTCGTTCTTTTTTCAAAATTACCCCTTTTATTTTTTCGAGAATAGTGAATAATGTCTAAAATTAATTTATTAGAATTTTTACACGTAAAGAAAATAAATTTTCAATTTTTTATAAAAGTATTTTCAAAAATTTGTAAAATTATTTTCAAGTCGTGGAAAATATGGTAAAAATCGAAATTTCCAAAATATAAGAAATATTAATTATATAATAATAAAATGCTTGGTCTGTCCTTCTGTCCTAACATGAAGTTGTCCTTTTCTGATTTCACGTGTTTTTTTGAATAGTACAAGATATTAATTTGAAAAAAATTTATTTTTAAAAATTAATTTTTAAAGTACCAGGGGCCAACGAATACCTATTGAATATTAATTATAAAAACACAGGCCTCGAATCAACTTAAAGACACAAAAAGTCGTTTTAGTCGATTTATATTTCAAAAAAAGTGGATTTGTTTTTTATTTTAACAAAAATATTTTACAGATTTTTAAATAAAAAAATTTTTTTTTTTTAATAATAATCCTTTTCGAAGGGTTAAAGTTGAAATTTTTAGAAATAATTAAATTTCAAAAGATATTGTTAATTTTCAAACAATTATTAAATTTTACAGAACTAAAAATAATTTATCAAACAATTTTTGAAAAACATTTTTTAAATTTAATTGAATTTTCAGAGATTTAAAATTGAGATTTTTGAAATTAATTGAAACTTTAAGTGATTTTTAATTAAAATTTTAGATGATTTCACTAAAAACTTATTAGAAAATGCGGACAAAATACAATAATTTGAAAATCATTTTTAATTGAAAAATGGTTTTAGATAGTTGAATTTTCAAAGAATATTATTAAAATAGTTAAAAATAATTGAATTTCCTTAAAGTTATAATTGAAATTATTAAATTTCAAAAAAAAAATTTTCGATGGAAAATTTTAGAAATAATTAAATTTTAGATGCTTTTAAATTCAAATTATTGAAAATTCAATTAATTTTGAATTCAAATTTTCGAGAATAATTAAATTTTATTTGATTTTAAATTTGGATAATAATTGAATTTCAGTTCATTTTGAATTGAAAATTTTGGGAAATAATTGAATTTTAATTGAAATTTTGGATAATAATTTAATTTAAGTTCATTTTTGATTGAAAATTTGGATAATTAATTTTGAATAGAAATTTTAGAAAATAATTGAATTTTATTTTATTTTAAATTGAAAACTTGGTAAATAATTAAATTTTAAATTGAAAATTTTGGATAATTATTAAATTTTAATTGATTTTGAATTAAAATTTCGGGTAATAATTGAATTTTATTGTGATATTTTTTTTTTTAAATTATAAACAATTGTTAAATTTCATAAAAATTTTAATAGAAAAATAATTTTGATATAATTGAATTTGTGATGTATTTATAATTAAAATTATTAAAAATAATTAATTTAGTGAAGAATCATTTTAGTTCAAAATTTGTTAAATAATTGAATTGAAGAGGATCTGAAGAAGATCTACATTTTATACTAAAAAAATGTATTTTATTTACATTTTTTTTCAAATGTAAAAAAAATGTCGCATTTTATTAAAATAAGTCGATAAAAGTCGTATTTTTGAAAAAAGTCGGAAAAAGTCGTATAATCCGAGGCCTGTAAATAAATAATTTTCATTATTATCATTTAATATGTAATAATAATCTAATAAATTAAATTATTATTAATAATATTAATCTTTAATTTCTTTATAACAAATAATTAAATACTGAATTTGGCGCGCTTGCGCGCGTTTAATTTTGCTAGTATTTAATAAACTTTTACGAAATTTACAATAATTATATTTTCCTACGAAAATACTTTTATAAAATTTGTTATTTAGACAATTAAAACGAATTTTTATTAGCTAGAATTTTATTGATTAAAATTTTCTTTTACATGAATTTTTTTTTTTTTTTTTTTTGTTCGAATTAACTTCCGTCCGTAAGTTTTGAGCGCAAATTTTAAAATTAACCAATAAGAAATTTTGCCGCATGGTTCATTTAACAATGGATTTGCAAAAAATATGTAAAAATCATGATACAAAAATTTATTTATATTTTTTTTAATTTTCTCGTCCCATTTTTTATATTTACATAATTTATTTGAGAAAATCTCAGTTTTTGAATGAAAATGACAAAAAAAAAATTTTTTAAAGTGTAAAGTACAAGTTTTTTCTAAATACAATATTTTATGTATTTGACTAAAAATATAAATTATTATTATTTTTTATAGTATTTTTTAAAAATTAGGTAAGTTATTTATTCTTTTTTTTTTTTGAAGTTTAGTTACAAAAATATTTAAAACCTGTTAAAAATATGTATCGATATAATATGTATGGGCAAATAAATAATAAAGTTGAATTTATTTTATTTTTAGACGATGGAGAACAAAGTAGATCTAAAAGGAGTTTTCTTTTTTGATTGTAATAAGGAAACGTGTTTGAATCGTTGTCTAAATCGTGGCGCAGAAGGAAGTGGACGAAGTGACGATAATTTGGATACATTAAAAAAACGTTTGGATAATTATGTTATAGACACTGTTCCAATTATAGAACATTATGAACGTGAGGGACTCGTTTATAAATTTGATTCAATGAAAGAACCTGAAAAAGTCTTTGAAGACGTTGAAAAAATAATTTCAAAAATTGGCTGGCAATAAAAAAATGTCTGCTATAGCAATATAGAAAATATTATTTCGTGTTTCAATTTTTACATTATTTTATAAAACACTGAAAAAAAATTCCGACCGATTCTCATTTTTAATAACAATAAGACGAATTCGTTTAAAAAAAAATGAGAGACATTAAATTTCAAGTATAACTAAATTTTTTTTTTGATTTTTTACAATATATATGACAATAAAAGAAAGCATTTTTTTTCAAATTTAAGAAAATTGCGTAAAAATTGAGTTTTTGATTAATATTTCTTTTCTTTTTTTTAACAAACATTCCTGGGGAGAAATATTTTTTACTTTGTAAGATTATCACTTTATTTTCTTTTTAATTTTCACCTATATATTTTAGATGAAAAAAGAAATGAGATATTGTAAAAAAAAAATAGCAGCGAGATTTAGATAGTAATTCAATTTATCTTTAAAATTTAACAATTTTTAATTTTATTTGCAGGCATAATAAAAAAAAATTTTTTAATGACAAAAAAGAAGCAACACATTCTATACATGTTGATAAAAAAAAAATAATTTTAGGAAAATGTAAATAATATTGCAAACAGTTTAAATAATTTTAAGATTTGATTTATACAATAGCAAATTTTTGTCATTAATAATATAAAAATTAAAAACGTATTATTAAATAATTGAAAAACTGAATAAAAACATTAATGTGATAAACAAAAAACTGAATGTTTTTATTTCTACCTTTTTTTTCAACACTCATTAAGAATATAATGAAATAATTAACCAGTACTCGATCCGACTTTGTAACGAGCAGTTGACAATTAGAGTTTTTTAAATTTAAGTAATAATAATAATTAATGTAATATGGAGTTTATTTCATGTGGAGTGACTGAATTTTATATAATAATTAACAATTGACTTTCTTTCGTCATAAAAATAATAAAAATATATAGAAGTATTGGGTTACTATTGTGAATTTATAATTATTAATAAACAAGTAAAATGAATTGTGAACTTAGTTACAAACAATAAAAAAAAAATAAATAAATTTATATTTATACAACATAATAAATTATATTTTTACAGTGATTTCAGTTTTTGTGTTAAAGAAGTTATGAACTGGGCAAGAAAAATGTATTGTATTCTTTTTCTTTGTTATTGTGATATTTAATTGAAATTATCTTTTTACTAATTTGATAAGTAAACTTTTGAGATTATTGACTTGATCTATACGCAAAGATCTATTTATTAATAGGAAATTAAAACTAAAACTGTTTAAAAAGTTAGAAATTTATTTTTGATTTTTCAATTCTTAATAACATATTAGAAAATTAATTTGGAATTGATAAAGAAAGAGTTTTAAAAAACTTGCATTTTAACCTTTAAATGCGTTTTTTGTGAACTATTGAGGATTATCGTACAAAATTGAGTAATATAAAAATTTTATATTCTCAATTAAAAATTGAGGATTAGTATTAAAATTATTATCATTATACAAATTAAGAATTATCATACAAAATTGAGAATAGTCATAAAAATTGAGGATTAGTACACAAATTTAATATCATCATACATAAATGAGAATTATCATAAAAATTGAGGATTATCATATAAAATTGAAAATTATCATAAAAATTGAGGATTATCATACAAAAATGAAAATTATTACGAAAATTGATGATTATCATTAAAAATTGAGAATTTGTACGAAAATTTGTTATCATCATAAAAATGGAGGATTATCATACAAAATTGAGAATTATCATAAAATTGATGATTGTCATTAAAATTTGAGGATTTGTACAAAAATTTATTATCATCAAACAAATGGAGGATTATCATATTAAACTGATAATTATCATAAAAATTGATGATCGTCATTATAAATTGAGGATTAGTACAAAAATTTATTATCATCATATAAATTGAAGATTTTCATACAAAATTGAGAATTATCATAAAAAATTTTTATTTAATTAATTAATTAATTATATATGTTGTATTTTCACAAATTCGGTCTTGCGAATCTCTCAAATTTTTCTTGGAAGTCAACAAACATAAAATATTGTTAAAAATATATATATATACAAAATAATACATTTAAAATTAATAAATAAATTTTATGATTCGTTCAAACTTTTATGTTATTAAATTACAAAAAATTAACAAGCGCGGGGCCGATCTCCTAATATAAATAAAAAAAAGTAATGAACCAGAATCTATGAAAAATATGTTATAAAAGGGGTATATAAAGATAGATAAAAGTAATAATTTAACTCTATCAAAATAGCATATGATCATAAATAGAAATCTAAACCCGCAGTTTTGGTCCCTAGAGAAAGGCTACATTTATGAAAATGAGAAGAGACTATTAAGGGAAATGAAATCACTTAGGGTTTGATATATAATTAGGTTATGAGAAACCACGTGCCTTTATTAGTGGATCGAGGGCGAAAAGTAACGAAAAAAAAAAAAATTGAAATATTGTCTCTTTTCTTCTATATCTCATAATTATTACACTATTAATAATATCTATGATAGGTTTTTTGCATGGAAATAAATAAAGCTCCTCATAAAAGTCACTTTAATTTTTTTTTCCGATTTTAAAATGACGCGAGGCCACTAAAAGAAATTTTTCAGAATTACTCAAACAGATCACTGCAAAAATATTTATTCCTAATGTGATCAAAATAAATTTTTCTTAAATTATTAGATCAAATTTTTTTTTTCTTAAAATTATAAAACCATTGATATTTTCTAATATATAGTTTTAAACAAAACTTTTTTGTTGTGTTCTAGTTGATTAATTTTAAAACAGGAATTTTTTATCTTGCAATATAATGTTCAAAAATAATTTCAAAAATTTTTTTTTGTTAACATTTTTTAAATAAAAAAATGTTTTAAATGGGTCAATCCATTATATTTCGACTGAAGTGGTCGCTGACTAATTTTTAAAAATTATAATACTTTGCAGGAATGATTTTGAAGTTATCAAGATCACGAAATGAAAAGAATTTTATTAAAATTTTAATTATTTATTGCAAAATATGACTTTAAAGTATATGAGGTGCTGAAAACTGTCAATTTTTTAGCCATTAGAAAATATGCAAAAATACGTAGAATTTACCATAAAAATAAAAAATTTTTTTTTGTAATTTACTAAGAATGAATAAATTTATCATTATCAATTGATGTAATTATTTAAATATGTGAAATAATATATAAAATATGATTTTCAAGTTCGCCTGTCAAATAACCTAAATTTGCAAATTTCATCTATTAAATGTGAGAAAGAGAAGTCATTAAATTGAAAAAAACCTTACCAAATATAAAGTACCTGTGACTAACTTTTAGTTTTTCTTAGCACTTTTTTTATTTTTTCTTCATAAATGTGAAATAAAAAGCAATAAAAATTGGCACTTTGCTTATTTTCACTATTTTCAAATGTAAATAACTTTCTTGGAGAAAACTGCAAAATTACAAAACTTGGGCAATATCTAATTGATCACTAACTACACACACTGGAAAAAAATTCGCTTTGGTCCCGAAGATACTTTTTGAGATAATTATGTTTAAATTTTTCACAATTTTTATCAGGTTAATGCATGTGATTTTTATAAAATTGAGTTTAGTTCAAAATGTTTAACCAATAAAACCTAACTTCGTCCTTAAAAAACTACATGTATTAACCTGATAAAAATTGTGAAAAGTTTAAACTTAATTATCTCAAAAAGTATCTTCGGGACCAAAGCGAATTTTTTTCCAGTGTGTGTAGTTAGTGATCAATTAGATATTGCCCAAGTTTTGTAATTTTTCAGTTTTCTCCAAGAAAGTTATTTACATTTGAAAATAGTGAAAATAAGCAAAGTGCCAATTTTTATTGCTTTTTATTTCACATTTATGAAGAAAAAAGGAAAAAAGTGCTAAGAAAAACTAAAAGTTAGTCACAGGTACTTTATATTTGGTAAGGTTTTTTTCAATTTAATGACTTCTCTTTCTCACATTTAATAGATGAAATTTGCAAATTTAGGTTATTTGACAGGCGAACTTGAAAATCATATTTTATATATTATTTCACATATTTAAATAATTACATCAATTGATAATGATAAATTTATTCATTCTTAGTAAATTACAAAAAAATTTTTTTATTTTTATGGTAAATTCTACGTATTTTTGCATATTTTCTAATGGCTAAAAAATTGACAGTTTTCAGCACCTCATATACTTTAAATTCATATTTTGCAATAAATAATTAAAATTTTATTAAAATTCTTTTCATTTCGTGATCTTGATAACTTCAAAATCATTCCTGCAAAGTATTATAATTTTTAAAAATTAGTCAGCGACCACTTCATTCGAAATATAATGGATTGACCCAAATATAAAAATTCAATCATAAAAAAAAATTAATTTTGAATATTTTTTTTTTAAGTGATGAGTTTAAAAATATTACATATATTATTATTATATAATAAGATAATAAAGAAGTACCATAAGAGTAATCATGATGACGGGTCACTTCACCACAAATGCAACTTATTATAATTGAATTGGTCTAACAATTGCACAACAAGCAACCCTCAAGACACCCCGTTGTGACACACGCATACTTATTTCCTTATATTGTCATATCAATTCCAGAGATTGCGGTTGAAACATCTGCGAGTCATCAACCAAGGACGCGTGTCTATTATACGACATTCTGTCTATAAAAAGTTAGTTTTTTCAAAATATATAAAAAAAAATTCTTAATTTTAAATAATTTATATAAATATGGTTGAAATAGAAACAAAACATTTTCCTCGTAGAAGTTAATAATTTTTAAATAAGAATAAAAAGGAAATTAAAACTAAAACTGTTTAAAAAGTTAGAAATTTTTTTTTTGATTTTTCAATTATTAATAACACATTAGAAAATTAATTTTGAATTGATAATAAAAGAAGAAATTTTACAAAACTTGCATTTTAACCTTTAAATGCGATTTTTGTGAACTATTGAGGATTACCATACAAAATTGAGAATTATTATAAAAATTGATGATCGTCATTAAAAATTAAGGATTAGTACAAAAATTTATTATCATCATATAAATTGAAGATTTTCATACAAAATTGAGAATTATCATAAAATTTTTTTATTCTCAATTAAAAATTGAGGATTATAACAAGAATTGATTTTTATTATACAAATTGAGGATTATCGTACAAAATTGAGAATTATAAAAATTTTATATTTTCAATTAAAAATTGAGGATTAGTATTAAAATTATTATCATTATACAAATTGAGAATAATCATAAAAAATTGAGGATTAGTACACAAATTTAATATCATAATCATACAAAAATGAGAATTATCATAAAAATTGATGATTGTCATTAAAAATTGAGGATTACTATAAAAATTTATTATCATTATACAAATTGAGGATTATCATCCAAAAATGAGAATTATAAAAATTTATAATTCATGTTATAAATTAAGGATTAGTATTAAAATTATTATCATCATACAAATTGAGGATTAGTACATAAATTTATTATTTATCGTACAAATTGAGGATTATCTTACAAAATTGAAAATTATCGTAAAAATTGAGGATTAGTACAAAAATTTATTATCATCATACAAATTGAGGATTATCTTACAAAAATGAAAATTATTTAAAAAATTGATGATTATCATTAAAAATTAAGGATTATTGTACAAAATTGAGGATTATCAAAAAAAATTGAGAATTATCATAAAAATTGATGATTAGTACAAAAATTTATTATTATCATACAAATTGAGGATTATTCTACAGAACTGAAAATTATTACGAAAATTGATGATTATCATTAAAAATTGAGAATTTGTACGAAAATTTGTTATCATCATAAAAATGGAGGATTATCGTACAAAATTGAGAATTATCATAAAAATTGATGATTGTCATTAAAAATTGAGGATTAGTACAAAAATTTATTATCATTATACAAATTGAGGATTATCATTAAAAATGGAGAATTATAAGAATTTATAATTCATATTATAAATTAAGGATTAGTATTAAAATTATTATCATCAGACAAATTGAGGATTAGTACATAAATTTATTATTCATCGCACAAATTGAGAATTATCTTAAAAAATTGAAAATTATCGTTAAAATTGAGGGTAGTACAAAAATTGAGAATTATCATAAAAATTGAGGATTATTGTACACAACTGAAAATTATTACAAAAATTGATGATTATCATTAAAAATTGAGGATTTGTACGAAAATTTGTTATCATCATAAAAATGGAGGATTATCATAGAAAATTGGGAATTATTATAAAAATGAATATTGTCATTTAAAATTGAGGATTAGTACAAAAATTTATTATCATTATACGAATTGAGGAATATTGTAAAAAATTGAAAATTATTACGAAAATTGATGATTATCATTAAAAATTGAGAATTTGTAGGAAAATTTGTTATCATCATAAAAATAGAGGATTATCATACAAAATTGAAAAGTATCATAAAAATTGATGATTGTCATTCAATATTAAGGATTAGTACAAAAATTTATTTTCATTATACAAATTGATGATTATCATTAAATTTTATGATAGTCATTAAAAATTAAGAATTAGTACAAAAATTTATTATCATCAAACAAATGGAGGATTATCATATAAAATTGATAATTATCATAAAAATTTGATGATCGTCATTATAAATTGAGGATTAGTTCAATAATTTATTATTATTATACAAATAATTAAAGATTATCATAAAAATGGAGAATTAGTATTTAAATTTATTATTTCACAGTAATTGAAAATCAAAATAAAAATTGTGAATTAACAGAATAAATTGATAATTGTTATTTATTTTAGTAAATGATAAATATTATTATTTTACTTGTAAATTAAATTTATCTATAAAAAACCACACATGAAAAAATGAAATAATTCTGTATCTATACACATAATAAATTTATACCAAAACTTTTGTAAATGATTTCTTGTATTAAAAAGTATCTTGTATTAAAAATTAATAAAATATATTAAAGGTACACACTTTTTCATTCCGTATAAGAATTCAATGTTAATTGTGGTCATTCGATTTTTGAATGATATAACGTTATATCTAAATATTAGGGGAAGTGAAATTTTTGTGTTATAATCGCGTGTGACCCAAAGTATCATGTTCTATTCTTAATAGGCGTGATATTTCAATTGAGAGTATCTTGTTCATGGTTTTTAAAACAGTAGGGGGATTTTATGAGCCTGTAACTGGCGCCGACCAACCCTCAAAGATCCTTTCACTGTCGACAGAATAGCGCCCCACACTTGTTGTATACGATATCTTTGTTCTTTGACTGCTTACGCGCAGCTTCTTCAAATTTCGATGGGAAAAGCTCTTGAAATCATGATATTTTCTATAAAAATATTCTTTTTCCAAAAAAAAAAAGAAGAATTTTTTTTGTCATAGATTATCATAAGTGGATTATTTTTCCCATGCTATATATTATCTGCGTATAAATATTCTTTGGACTATTGCTGTACTGTAAAGGATTAAAAAAAAATTTGTGTTTTGTATTTTTATCCAATTTTTCTCAAAGAAATTTTATATTGTAAAATATTAAAATATAATAATAATAATTAGTGCAAAAAATATGATAATCATAGTCAACAATATTTTTGGCAAAAGCATAAAAATTATCATCTACTGAAAAATTATGCAATATATGAAAGGTTTAAAAATTAATTTAAAGAAAATACAAATCGTTTATTGTGATATAAATTTTTATTGAGTAAATATAGTATAGTTACATAAATAGAAATTATTTAGTATTTTTAATTTTACATTGACAAACGTGTTTAATGTGTTATATAAATTTACAAACATCTACTTATTGTTACATTTACTATATTTATGACAAAAATTAAAACATAAAAATCTCGACAAATGGAGTTTTTTGGTAATTGGCTCTTTAACCTCTTCGAAAGTAAATTGTATATACTTTTTATTCATTTTTATTAGTATCTAATATAACCCTAATAATACAAGATATCTTGGGATAAATTGGTAATATCCCGCAGATATCCTAGGGATGTCCTATGGATATCAAAAGGATCTCTTAATGATATCCAAAAAATCGGTGGTTTGGATATCCTTTGGATATCCCATGGATATCCGAGGATATCCACAGGATATTTTCTGGATATCTCTATAGACTTTTATAAATTTCCTCCAGATATCCCATAGTTATCGTCAGGATATCCCACAGATATTTTCAGGATATTCTCAGTATATCTTCTGGATGTCAAGAAGATATTCTCAGGATACTGTTTTTAAAGTCATTATGAGACTACGAGTGAGAATATTCTGTGAGATATTAAATATCCCGTAAATATCCTAAGAATATCCCACGGACATCCTGAGGATATCCCATGGATATCCTGCGATATAATATCCAATAGATATTTTGTGGATATCTTATGGATGTCCTGTTGATGTCCCACAAACAGGCGGTTTGGATATCCCAAGATATCCTGGGGACCATTCTAGGATATCGACCATTGATATGGATATCTTTTTGTTATGAGGGAATTATTTATGAATTATTTTTATTAATAACTGAAAAGAATTAATAAATTTAGTTTCCTATGCAATAATACAGTAACAACAATACGAAAACGCAGCAAATATTTAATGATTACTGTGACAAAAGTTTTCATGGATAATGTGAAAATTTTTCCTTTGTAATTTCTTATTTTCTTTATCAATAAGAATTTTCTTACTCTTAATGTCATTTTGTACCAATAAGATGAGTATCTAAGAAATACAGTATTATTGTTTTAATAATGTTTAATTTTAATCCAATAATCATAATTAATTTATTAAAACAAAATACTTAAATAAGTAATTTTAAATAACAAGTTTTAAAGAAAGCTATATAACATATATTTCATAATTCATTACAAATTTAGTTATCTCTAATAAACTTACAGATATACGTCAACAATTAAACTATAATCCTTCAGTTTTTGTGCAGGAACACAGAGATGAATTAAACGACCAACAGTAAAAGGAATGTATTTTATTAAAATCTCCATTTCACTCTTATTAATTATAGTCTGTATAAAGTTTTTACTTGGTAAAAAAGTCCCTACATTTTTAATCTGATTTAAAATTTTTAAGCTAGTTTGATAAATTCTTTATAATTGTCTTAATAAAAATTAAAAAATATATACGGAAATTTTGAATTATTTTGCAGATTGCAAAACTTCTGTATTTTTACGTAAAATTTATTTTTGTTGCTAAAAAATGGAATGAAAATAAGAGAAGGAATTTTCTCCTCTAACATTATATATTATTTAATAAGATATATGCGTTGTTGCAAATTATCAATTAATTTAAGTCAGGTTGAATTTGACCTCTGTTATGAATTGAATGATAATTTTCATAATTTTTATCTGTATAATTATTTACCAAGTTATAAATTCGTATTATATTGTTTCTTTATATCTCGTTCAATCTTAAATTATATATTATTTATAACATATATGATATTTGAATTAAAACATACCATTGCGCCTAAAATTGTCATTGCTAATATAATATATCCGTAAGAGATTAACAAACACTTGGTGAAACATAAATCAAGTTTTTCGACAAACCTTTGGGAATAAAATTAATGTTAAATATTTAAACAAAAGAAATAATATCACTGGCGGTCAATTACGTAAATTTTTCCGGATTCCACATTCCGGATCCCACATTTCACATTCAGGATTCCACATTCCGGACCCCTCTTTTCACATTCCATATTCCGCATTCTACATTCCGTATTCCATTTTCAGAATGTGAGATGTGGAATCCGGAATGTGGAAAGTGGAATACGAAATTTGGAATATGGGATCCGGAATGTGTAATCCGGAATGTGAAAAGTAGAATCTGAAATGCAAAAGTGGAGTCTGGAATGTGGAATCCGAAATTTGAAAAGTGGAATACGGAATGAGGGATACGGAATGTGAGATCTGGAAAAAATTACGTAATTAACTCCCTCATAAATATATGTAATTTAGAAATTATACTAACTCAAGAATATTATTATGTAGCAAAATACAATAAACATTTTTTTGCATCCTCTCCTCATTGCTAATAACCTTAATTGTCCTTCTAATATTCATAATGTTTTCCGAGCGATACCTGTTAATAAAAAATTAATGTTTAACAAATGTATTTTCCATATGAGGAAAGCAGCGTTAACAACTCGAAACTTTACTGAATATTTATTAAAGTTCTAAGTGCAAACTACCGAATATTTAGTTGCAATATTTAGGTTTATTTATATTTAACAAGCATTTATTTTAAATGTTCTAAACATTTAATATTCAACTTTCTCTCAAAACCGTCTACTTTCCAGAGAAATCACTATGCGACATAGGGAAATATGGCGGAGATTTGGCTTCAATATACTGATAGGATATCCGGATGAGAAAGGAAATTAAAAAATTCCCTTGCGGATCGACGAAATCGAATGCGCCATGAATTTGTGGAACATTCGTGGAACATTCATTTTAAGTGCAAATATTGTAGAAAATTAGTGTAAAGTTTGGAAAAGTATTATTATTGAATTGAATAAATAAACTATATTTAGTGCTAACCAGATACATTTATTTAAATATTGTATTTACCACAAAACACGATACATTTCACAAGTATGTTGTATAAATGCAAATAGCACGATATCAATGATATTGATCGTAAGAATAGAAAAACAATCACAAATGAATGCATGTACATAAGAAGACCAGTAATAAACATTTCTGTCAAAAAAATAATATTCTAATTCCACTGTGTAAATTTTATGCCGTGTTTCATTTAATGTCAAAATAATGCTAACAATTTGTGGTATTAAAGTTATTGAACAAAAAAGAACCACACACAATGATAAGTAAACTATAAAATAAACATTACCAATAATTAAACAAATGTAAAATCATATATTTGAATATAATTTTTACTTACTGATAAAAATCAGATTTATATGTTTTGCTTCTTTAGTTAATTTTTTCAAAATACAAAATTCTTTCCTAGATTCAATGTCTTTAAAGTTTTCTAAAATTTTATCTAATAAAAATAGTACCTAAAATAGAAATTCAAATAGATATTAAAACATATAAGATATATCATTTTTTAAATACAATATTTATACTTACACCTCGTGTATTGATAATAAAACACACATATTTCATTGAACAATTAGCACACGCAGGAGATATTGAAAAGCAAATAATAAATTTTTGAATGTTATTCCTTGTTACAGAAAATAATCTTAGCTATAAATTAATTACATATTGATATGTTTTTATTTACATATAAATGTACTCAGCAAATTATTTCTTTTCACAGAAAATTAAAAGGAATTAAAATAAGCCGCAACGCTTATTATATTAATCCAATTTTGCTTATTTTAATCCATTTTGGTATTAAAATAAGCAAAATTGGATTAAAATAATAAGCGTTACAGCTTATTTTAATGCTTTTTAATTTTCTGTGTTATCATTTACTTTCTAGCATCTAAATTATGGCAAAGCTTTGTCTGTAAGAAATATTAAATTAAAATTATGAAATACTTACTATCGGTGTTTCAACCGATAGAAAAGAAATAATATAAAAAATCCGTAGCACACGATTTAAAATACGGCTTCTGCATGGCCACTTTCCAAAAGCCAACATACATAATTTGACAGTTTTCGGATATTCCATGTTCTGAAAAAGTAATACGAAAATGTTGCAAGAAATTTTTCAATATTATCATATAATTTCGATGCAAATAAATAATGAAACAACGTATTGCTGCGAAGGGAATTTTTGGGATTTTGTTTTTAAATATCGAAACAATTTCCATTCATGAAGGAGAAAATTTTTTTATTTGCAGATCTTGCTATTTTGTCTCATATACTGGGAACTTTATTAGACTTGCCGGAAATTTTTGTCGTGTCAAATTAAAAATTATTGAAATTACATATTTATTGAAATTTCAAAAAAGTACATTTTATAATAAACACAATTTTAATATCGAAAAATTTCTATTTAAAAATAGATTAATTAAGTTAATTAATTTAATTAATCAATTTAATCAATTTAATTAATTTAATTAATTTAATTCATTTAATTAATTAATTTAATTAATTAATTCAATTAACTAATTTAATTAATTAATTTAATTAATTAAATTTATTTTTTTCTATTTTGAATTTCTATTCAACTGAAGAGTGATAAAACAGATTTACTATAACATAACGAATTTTTAAATAATACAATTTCCAATTAACAAAATTGATATCTAGAAAAATTTAGGACTAATGATTATGGTCTTAAAATCATTAGTTAGAATTTTCATATTATTGAATTTCATTTGTCATAATTATTTTTGAGGGGAATTTTTATATGTTCGAATTAGTATTTTGCAGAATTTTCATCAAAACGATTTTCTATATTACACAATTTTCATGTAACCGAAAATTCACTTCACAGAATTTTTATTTAACATAATAAACAATCGATTTTGGCGAGATTTTGAAAATCAACCAATCAAATATTATCCATAAAATTGTGATTGGTTGATTTTAAAAATCGCGCTGAAATCGATTGTTTGTTCGGCCATTTGCAATTTCGGACAAATGAAAATTCTCTATCAATTATAGAAATTCTGTTAAATGATTTATCGGTTAGGTAAAAATTCTGTAGTATGAAAAATCTGTTATATGGAAATTATATCAAATAATAATTCGAACAAATGAAAATTTATCTGAAAGAATAAAATGAAAATTCTATGCAATGAAATTCTACCCAATAAAAATTCTTTAAAATGCCCTATTATGTTAAATGAAAATTCGGGCATATAAAAATTCTGACAAATAAAAATTCGAACAAATAAAAATTCTGTGAAGTAAATTTTTGGTTATGTAAAAATTCTGTATAATATAGAAAATCGTTTTGATGAAAATTCTACAAAATATACTAATTCGAACAAATAAAAATTCGGCTTAAAAATAATTATGACAAATGAAATTCCATAAAATATGAAAATTCTAACTGATGCTTTTTAGAACATATAATCGATCGTCGGAAAAATTTTCATAAAAAAATTTTTTATTTATTTTGTTAATAAAAATACTTTTTTTTTGTATAAAGTAGACAATATACCGATATGACTGATAAAGAAATTCTAAGTTTCTATGCTTTCTTTCATAGACACTCTGATATTCTGCTGATTTAATAAATTTACATACAGATCTGTATAGACAATGTATATTAAAATCGTTTACTTAGAAAGACATATGCATTATTAATAAAGTTACTAGAAACATTTTTGTTCACGGGGAAAGACAGTGTTTCATTTAATAGGAAATTATGTTTCCCTTTATCATATATATTCTAAGAACAAAGTTCCTTTCTGTTGCATAATAAATAGTGATAAAAGGATGTGACTGTTACAAAGTCACGACTTGCGCAGTCGTTAGTTGTTATAAGATTTAAGTTTTAGTATCGGCTCAACATTCAATCAGAATTAAAGTAACAAATTTTCAAGAATGCAATCCCAGTAAAAAAAAAAGTATAGACAGTAAGGAAAAAGTATAGACTCATAGCTTAGTGGCTATACCGTTCGGCATGTAATGACGGTATAGAGACGTTACGGTGTATACTTTTTTCTTACCGTGAATACGGTTCACCTGGATTGTTTGAATTGATGTGTATTAACGCGATTTGACATTGTCAATGAAAAAGCCGATTGTTTTGAAGTGTAATAATGCCGATTACGAGGAGGAGCGACGAAATTTTATCTAAAAGTTAAAAAGGTAAATGTGACAGGCACGAAACCTGCGAGAGTTGTTACCACTGGATTGAGGAAATGCATCATTACTGACAAAAAGTATTCGACAGAAACTTACCGACAGAAAGTTACTAGGAAGAGCGGCAAATTCAAATGGTCAAATTAAATTCGAATGAATATATACATAATTTAATGTAGTTTTTTTATTTTAAATCAAGTATAGTATTTTAAATAATTAAATACCGATATTAAATAATTAATGTTTATTATAAAAATTGACATATAGACATGAAAATTTTTTCATTTTTAGCATTTAAATCTGTGAAATAATGAAATATTGTAATTTTATTTTTTAATTTCATAAAATTTTTATTTTTTATTAATTATTAATAATTAAATTTTTTTCATAAAAATAAAAATGTACTGCAAAGAATATGTTTTATGCATTGAAAAATAAAAATTTGTTAAAATATATTATTTCTATATTTTGTAAATAAAGTTATTTATTAAAATAATTTTTTTATTTATAAAATTGAAATAGATTAAAAAATTAATGTTTTAAATTAAAAATTTGTTATTTGAATTAATATATGTAATTAACTATTATGAAAATTAATTAGTCGTTAAATTTTTTTTTTTTTTAATAATAACTAATCTTTTTTTACCTATAAACAAATTTAATTTTATTTTGAACAAAATTATATTTTTAATGATAAAAACTTTGTTATTTTACATAGAGACGAATAATATTATACTTTTTTTATTTGTGAGTGAGAAGTGACCAAAACCAAATAATTGTAAATCATCGTAAAAATATTTTAAAAGGGATAGAAACAAAACAATACATTTTAAAATTATACAACACAAGAATACTCGCAAATGCGATTGTAAAACGAAAAGTACGAAAGTAATATAATTTTAGGTTTATTACGTCCTGCAGCCGTTAGGTGGCAGAAGCATGCAGGGAGCACAATGTCGCAGCTGTCATTATATTACTTTCGTACTTTTCGTTTTACAATCGCATTTTTGTATAGATTTACACAATCTTTCGGATTTAAGAAATTTATAAGATAAGGATCCTTGGTATTTTTTCCGATTTTGAAAAAAGTGTCCGCGTTTTGAGAAAAAAGTATTTTAAACTCAATGTTTATCATTTTCACGTTCAGTGCCGTTTTTATAGGGCGATTATTGAATGCCAAAGAATTTCAGAGACCGTTCGACACTCTTAAACGATATTTTTTTATTTGTGAATTTCTTTTATATTTAAACGCATTCTTTTATCCTACAATAATTTTTAATGCTTATAATTTGTTTCATACGCGTATATGCGATTTGCGAGTATTCTTGTGTTGTATAATTTTAAAATGTATTATTTGTTTCTATCCCTTTTAAAATATTTTTACGATGATTTACAATTATTTGGTTTTGGTCACTTCTCACTCACAAATAAAAAAAGTATAATATTATTCGTCTCTATGTAAAATAACAAAGTTTTTATCATTAAAAATATAATTTTGTTCAAAATAAAATTAAATTTGTTTATAGGTAAAAAAAGATTAGTTATTATTAAAAAAAAAAAAAAATTTAACGACTAATTAATTTTCATAATAGTTAATTACATATATTAATTCAAATAAAAAATTTTTAATTTAAAACATTAATTTTTTAATCTATTTCAATTTTATAAATAAAAAAATTATTTTAATAAATAACTTTATTTACAAAATATAGAAATAATATATTTTAACAAATTTTTATTTTTCAATGCATAAAACATATTCTTTGCAGTACATTTTTATTTTTATGAAAAAAATTTAATTATTAATAATTAATAAAAAATAAAAATTTTATGAAATTAAAAAATAAAATTACAATATTTCATTATTTCACAGATTTAAATGCTAAAAATGAAAAAATTTTCATGTCTATATGTCAATTTTTATAATAAACATTAATTATTTAATATCGGTATTTAATTATTTAAAATACTATACTTGATTTAAAATAAAAAAACTACATTAAATTATGTATATATTCATTCGAATTTAATTTGACCATTTGAATTTGCCGCTCTTCCTAGTAACTTTCTGTCGGTAAGTTTCTGTCGAATACTTTTTGTCAGTAATGATGCATTTCCTCAATCCAGTGGTAACAACTCTCGCAGGTTTCGTGCCTGTCACATTTACCTTTTTAACTTTTAGATAAAATTTCGTCGCTCCTCCTCGTAATTGGCATTATTACACTTCAAAACAATCGGCTTTTTCATTGACAATGTCAAATCGCGTTAATACACATCAATTCAAACAATCCAGGTGAACCGTATTCACGGTAAGAAAAAAGTATACACCGTAACGTCTCTATACCGTCATTACATGCCGAACGGTATAGCCACTAAGCTATGAGTCTATACTTTTTCCTTACTGTCTATACTTTTTTTTTTACTGGGTATTTAAATAAATATTTTTTTTACAGATTTTTGTAATTCAAAATATCGCTTTTAACGTTCATCCCAGAAGAAGAAGAAGAATAATTAAAATATTTTAAAAAATATATTTAAAAAATTTTATGTCATTCTTTTGATGATATTTTAAAAAATAGCTCCAAAAATTCAAGCCAAGAAACAAAGAAGAATTTTTAGATTGTTTTTATATTTAAATATATTTAATATCTCTAAATACTAATGTTTCTATATATTTTAATTTTAGACAGTATACTTGATGAAAGAAATTCGAAATACTATTTATTAATGACAACGTGCACAAATATTTTATTTTAATTTAATCGATAATATAACTGTCAATGGTAAAGTACTAAATGAAATCAAGATGACAGATTTAATTTTTTGTGAGTGTCGTGCCTGGGAAAGAAGAGATAAAGCCACTTAACATCCATGGATGAGATTGAAATGAATATATATTGCAAAAAGACTATCTCTTAATTATTTGCCTCTGAAATGAAAAAAAAAATTCAACTTCACCACAGGATAAACTTTTTAATTCCAATGTTCTGTTGAGAAACTCAAAAAAAAAAAATAATAATCCGTTAATATATTAATTTTTTTTTAATTATCTCATTCAAAAATCATATTAGATTGAAATATTCATATTTTATTGTTATGTATATTGTTTATTACAGTCATTTCTATTTTTTATTAATTTAAGTTATTATTCCTAGAAAACGAATATGCCTATATTTAATACTATAAATGTAAAGTATTTTGAATTAAAATTGTAGTTAGATAAATAATAGGTTTCTATCTTTAAATGGATGACAATTTAATACAAAAATTAATTTCTATTCTGTTCCACGAAAGTTGATAATCCACTTTTAATCACTGTTTACCTATATTCAATTCTATATTCATATATTTTTTTTAATTCAAACAACTAATTATCATCAACATACGTTTCTTTAAACTTTTTAATTCCCCTATGCCAAAGGAAACGATTTGTTTATTTATATTTATTTACATTTCCGGATGGTTTTCTCCAGAATACATATACAGGACGTTAACACCAGTACATATACAGATATCTAATTAATCACCAGTTAATTTCACATAAGTTAGGCAAAATAAATTTTCTTAAAAAAAAAATAATAATAATAATCTGATGCGCTAAAATAGATTTACAAAGTACAAGCGGTTCAATAATATATAATTGTATAAAATAAAAATTAATTTTAAGTAAATTAATTATTATTTACAGATTTCCAAAAGTTTATTATTTCCCTGTCCAATTCGAATAACCGTGGCTGATTTGAATTTGCTCTAATTAATTAGAAATTAAGTTAATTAATTAATTAGTAATTTAATGAATTAGAAACAAAGGGGAAATAACTTGTGAATTAAGGTGTACACTTGAGTTGAATTATCTTGGATTATTTACAATTATTTGAAGTGTTTTGAATTATCATGAATTACATTGAATTACTTTGAATTATCTTAAATAACTATGAATTATCTTGAAATAACTTGAAGTCTATAAATTATTTGAAGTATTCTGGATTAATATGAATTACCTTGAATTACATTAAATTATCTCGAATTACTATGAATTACATATCTTGAATTAATTTAAAGTATTTGAAGTATATCGTGAATTAATATGAATCCCTTTGAATTATCTCGAATTACTATGAATTATCTTGAAGTATATATAAATTATCCTGTATCTCAAGTATTGTGAATTATCAAGAATTACATTGAATTACTTTGAATTATCTCGAATTACTATGAATTATTTGTAGTATTGTGAATTAATATGAATTATCTTGAATTATTTTAAATTATCTCGAATTACTATGAATTACATATCTTGAATGTATTTGGAGTATTTGAAGTATATCGTGAATTAATATATGAATTACTTTGAATTATCTTAAAGTATATGAATTATCCTTTATCTGAAGTATTGTGAATTAATATGAATTTCCTTGAATTACTTTGAATTATCTCGAATTACTATATGAATTATCTTGAATTATATGAATTATTTGTAGTATTGTGAATTAATATGAATTATCTTGAATTATTTTAAATTATCTCGAATTACTATGAATTACATATCTTGAATGTATTTGGAGTATTTGAAGTATATCGTGAATTAATATATGAATTACTTTGAATTATCTTAAAGTATATGAATTATCCTTTATCTGAAGTATTGTGAATTAATATGAATTTCCTTGAATTACTTTGAATTATCTCGAATTACTATATGAATTATCTTGAATTACTATGAATTACATATCTTGAATTAATTTAAAGTATTTGAAGTATATCGTGAATTAATATGAATTACTTTGAATTATCTCGAATAACTATGAATTATCTTGAATTAACTTGAAGTCTATAAATTATTTGAAGTATTGTGAATTAATATGAATCTCCTTGAATTACTCTGAATTATCTCGAATTACTATATGAATTATCTTGAATTATATGAATTATTTGTAGAATTGTGAATTAATATGAATTATCTTGAATTATTTTAAATTATCTCGAATTACTATGAATTACATATCTTGAATGTATTTGAAGTATTTGA